GCAAACGCTGCAAGAGCATGGCCCAGCTGCCCCTGGGACCCTCAGCCCTGGCGTCAGCAGTCCCCTCCCACCGCGCTGCCCCCCTCCTGCCCCAGCTTCCTGCCAGGAAACAGCCCTGGCACCGATCACTAACGCATCCCCTCACTGGAGCTCTCTTCAGTTCTCAAACACTTTGCCTCCCATTACCTTGAAGGATGCTTGACACCCCCGGGAGGCGGGAGGTGGGCCGAGACTGGGTGGAGGGTGTGCAGCCAAGGAAAGGCAGATCACCTATCACCCTGCTTCCAGGGCCCTGCTGAGGGCCCTGCAGGCTCTGCTCCCAAGGCCACTGCGTTTCAAACGGACGACAGAGAAGCACCGACAAAAAGAAAGGGTCTGCTCCTGCAGCTCGGACAGAAGACCAGGCTGGAGCTGAGCCGGCCTGTGCCTGTAACCCAAAACTCAGTTCTGCACCATGGCCAGCCTGTGCGGGGGGAGGGCCCAATAAATAATGTCAAATAACTGAACGGGCAGGAGCCCCTGGGTGTGCAGACAGGGCCAGAGCAGCCTTTTCTGCAGCCAGCAGTCTCTGCCTAGGAAAGCCGACCTCCCCCTAAGCACTCCGGCCCCACAGTGCTCCACGTCCCAGGCTCTCCCTCCACCTCGCAACCCACTAGTGCCAAGGGGCTCTGGGAGGCCGGGAAGGACTCACTGTGCTGCCGGCGTCAGTTCCCCCTCTCTGCCTGGGCCTCCGTTTCCCCACAGTACCCGCAGTTCTCTGAGTCTCCCGCAATCTGAAGGTCTCTGGGCTGCAGCCCTGAACTTCCCCGGGAGTATCTAATGGCTGTGATAAGAAGGCTCCCTCACTCCCCAATACACACACTCCACACCTGCCCGGTGCCATGCCCCTGGTGGGCTCAAGCCAAGCGGCCACAAAGCAGCCCCTGGCCATCTCCCAGCAGCCTCTGCTCTGGCCAGCAGACACATGCCATCTGCTTTCTGCATCCAGACCCTGCGGTCCCGGGCGAGGACCGGTTTCCTTCTGCTAGGCAAAGCTGTGACAGGAAGGCGCAGACCCGACCTCTGCTTGGAAAACCGATTGTGCAACGTTGTCCTATGCAGGGACGCACGTGGCCAACGGGAAGGGGCTGCCTGAGAGAGCCAGGGCCTTCTTTGAAATGAATATCTTGGCAAGACCCACAGAGAAATGTCCTTCTGGACGCCACTAACTCTGGGTCGCTGCTAATTTATTCAGAGACTGGCTGCCATGTCTTATCTCAGCAAGCCTGGACAGAGCCTTGCCAGGTTATTGTCAAGTACGCCGGAGCTGCGGGAGCAATGGCTGGCCGACCCCTGACCCCTGCTTCTGCCCAGAGGTGCTCTGAGCCCTGCCACATTCATCTGAGCCTCCTCTTCCAAGGCCAGCGAGTAACTTATTTTCAGTAACAAGAAAGTCATTTTGAATCAAGTTTAGTAAATAATACAGATAATGGGACAGAGATTTATATATATATATATATATTTGGAGAGGTTTTTGCTATAGGGTGCGTGTGCTCACCAGAAAGATGAAGAGAAACAGAGAGACAGAAAGTGAGAAATCTCCCCCACCCCCCCGCCAGGGGGGATGGCCACGCCGTAATCCCTTCTCCTCCATTCTCCTCTCAGGATCTTGGGCACGCACGCACACATGCCCAGCATGAGTTTAAGCCACCGGGTCCAGTACTCGAGCCATGGTTGACTACATGGGAGACCAGTGACATAGCCATTAGACCAACTGCTGGTCCCAACGGCACAGGGATTTTTATGGTGTAACTACATAAGGGGGTCTTCCAAAAGTTCACAGAATATTTATATTATGAAAAAACTGTGCGAGGACTTTGGAAATTCTTTGCACCAAAATAGAGGCCTACTTGGCCTTTTCTGTGAACGTTCTGAAGTCCTCTTGTGTAAGCATCTGTTTTTCTTAGATCGAGCGGTAAGTGCAGCACTGTTTGGAGTAAGTGCCTAACAAGGTCACATGGCTGGGGGCCAGAGCAGGGCTGCGGCCGCCTGCGTTCTCTCATCTCCGCATCTCTGCAAGGCAGACCTTCTCACCGGCTTCACCAACAAGGAAGCCAGGGCAGGGCGAGGTCACGGACTCAGCGCCAGCCACGGCAGTGAGCAGAGGAGCTGGAATCCAAACCAGACCTGTCAGCTCTCCCCTACACCCCAGGTTCCCCATGATTCCTACCGTGAAGGACATTCAATCAGTGACTCACTAAAGGGACACAGGCATGAGCCCTCCATCTGTCCAGACTGTTCCTTTTTTTAGCTTTTGTTTTTTTGTTTGTTTTTGTTTTGTTTTGTTTTGTTTCTTTTTTTTTTTGCCATAGAGCACATGTGCTCGCTGGTAAGAGACAGAGACAGTGAAAGAGGGAAAGTGAGAAATCACTCTCTGATTGGGTGGCCACACCGCAATCCTCTCTCCTCTATTCTCCTCCCGGGCTTTTGGGCACATGTGCGCTCGCACGTGCACGCGCACACACACTCACACACACACACACACACACACACACACACACGGTGTTTTCCAGGCCACTGTGTCTGGGACTGAAGCCGTGTCAGACATGTAGGAATCCAGTGCCTTAACCACCATGCCACTTTCTGGCCCTGCAGAGGGTAGAGGCCTGCCCTTTGGATCTCCTTGGGGCAGTTCTATAGAGCCACCCCTGCCTGGATTGACCTCGGCAAGGGTCCGCTCTGCCTGCTCCCACTGCTCCCCTGCCCACTCCAGCTTCTTCCCCTCCCTGCCACGGTGCGAAGCCCGAGAGCACCCCAATTGTAGCCTCACACATGACTCCCCTTCTCAGAGTTGGCTCCTGGGAGCTGATGGGAGGCCTGACTTGCGGGCGCTCCCGCAACCCCGTGGCCAGGTTGAGACCAGAACCCAGGGCGCCAGCAACCCCTACTCCCAACCCCTTGTCGAGGGTTTGGCTATTCCTTGGGGGCCAGGCCTGAGTGCTGGGGACTTGGCCCCACATCTGTACCCTCTCACCATGCAAAGGTCACGCACCGTCTCCCCGTCGATCGAGACAGCGATAAAGTGGCCAAAGATCACATGTAGACAAGTTTAAAACTGAGAAGTAGCCCAGAGGACCCAGGGTGGGAACAGCAGGTGGGTGGGAGGGCCAAGGAGGCGTCTCAGAGGAAGGGGCAGGGGAAGAAGGGGCCCCCGAGGCTTGTGCCGTGTCCCACAGCTCACAGGCCAGTTAGACTGGGTCAGGGGCAGGCTTGGTCACTCTGGGATTCAGGAAGGGGACTCCCTGCAAGCCCACTGACGAGCTCACGTGCTCCAACGAGCTGAGCACGTCACCCAAGTCTTCCGAACCTTTCTTGGCAAACGACTTCTGGCTACTTGACACCTTCAAAGTCACAGATAGACCCAAACCCAACGGTTGAGACCCTCTCGGCTTTCCAATCCTTTTCAGGGAGAGTGTTTCAAATGGAGGTGGAAAGAGAGCCAGCAGGTGGTGTAGCAGTCATGTTGCTGGACTCCCACGTGGCTGATCGTGGTTCGAGTCCCAGACCTGGTGGCTTGAAAATCATGCCTGGCGTGTGTGAGCGTGTGTGCCCAAGATCCTGAGAAAAGAATGAAGAAGGGACTGCGGCATGGCCATCCCCCTGGGGGTGATATCTCGCTTTTTCTATCACTGTCTCTGTCTCTCTCAGGTGAGTGCACATGCCCTAAGGCAAAAACTTCTAAAAAAAAAAAAAAAGAATGGTGGCAGAAAGAGAAAAGGAGACCTTAAAGGTGGCCTGGGCAGGGGAAGGGAGCAGGCGAGGAGGAGGGTCAGGGTGCACACAGGAGGACCCGTCCGCCCCCCTCAGAACTGTGACTGCGGCTCATCTAGGCTGTAGTCACTGAAGCCACCGCTTTCCAGCCTGGACTTCGGCCAAGGCATCCAGCGAGGAGGCCCACGAGCACAAGGTCCCCAGGGTGAGCTTCTGGGCCGGCCTCCTGGACCTCTGAAGGCAGCCTTCCCAGAGCAACAGCCACGGAAGACGCATTGCTTCCCATCACACCCACGGATGGGCGGTGGCGGGAATGCGGGGCTAGCTAGAACTGGGAGGGGCTTATATTGGGTGGTCGAAAAGTCATGATGTGTTTTTCCTTGTCTTTAGCAAAAATACATCATGACTTTTCCAGAGACCCAGTATAATGTTGCACTGGGAGAGAGGGGTTTTCCTCTAACGTATTGGTCAAAAGTGCCCATTGTGGGACCAGTAGTTGGCATAATGGCTATGTCACTGGACTCCCATGTAGTCGACCATGGTTCAAGTCCCGGACCTGGTGGCTTAACTCATGCTGGGCACGTGTGTGTGTGCCCAAAATCCCGAGAGGAAAATGGAGGAGATGGGACTGCGGCGTAGCCATCCTCTGGGGGGTGATTTCTTGCTTTGTGTCTCTGTCTCTGTCTCTCTTTCTGGCAAGCACACACGCCCTATAGCAAAAACCTCTCACTCCACTCAAACAAATAAACAAAAAAAAGTGCCCATTGTTCTTTTTGTTTTGTTTTGTTTTGTTTTGTTTTAAGAGAGATTTCTGCTGTAAGGCATGTGCACTCGCCAGAGAGACAGAAAGCAAGAAATCAACACCCCCCTCAGGAGGAATGGCCATGCTGCAATCCCTTCTCCTCCATTCTCCTCTCTAGATTTGGGTATGCATGCACACGTGCCTGGCATGAGTTTTAAGCCACTGGGTCCAGAACTCGAACCACAGTCAACTATGTGGGAGTCCAGTAATGTGAACATTAAGTCATCTGCTGGTCCTTCTTTGGGCCTTTTTAAAGATAAACTCAGCTATGGTGCAGATCCCTGCCCGGACCCACACACCCGGACATGCAGCTCCGTGAGCAAGTGGCTGCAGGCGTCTGCTGGGTTCCTCCCAGCTGTGAGGAAAGCCCTTGGCGAGCACCCAGGGCGGGTCAGAAAGGCCAGGGAGTTCATGCAATCTCTGCCAGTGGCACCAGAAATGGAGAGTAAAGAGCCCTGCTTGTTGTTCCTCGCGTGTGACAACATGGAGGAATCTGATTCCTCCAAATCCTGCCTTCGCCCTCTGCCGTCTCAGTGCTCAACCTCTTCACCTGTTAGGTAGCCACGGCTGTAGGATTTTCCTCTGCAGTTTGTCGTCAGCTGGATCAGATCATTCACGTAAAGCAATTTTCCCAGGACCTGGAGGAGTCGGTCCTCAGTAGAGGTAGGTCCTGCATCTCCCAATTCCACCAACTAGCTGCAAATGAAGGCAAACCGCCAGGTCTGGGACTCGAACCACAGCTGGTCGTGTGGGAGTTCAGCACCTTAACCACTGTGCCATCTGCGGGCCCCTTAAATAACATTTTAATATTTATATCTTTGTACACCTTTGTAATTGCATCTGTTAATCTAGAGAGAACATATGCCAAGTAGTGGTGGTGATTTGTGAGGTTTAGGACTATAGAAACGTGTCGAAGCTACACAGTTCTGTAATGTCTGAAATTTTGCAACAGGCATTTCATCAGAAACCATGCCGACCCTGTCACACTCCCTCGACGCCCTTTTATCTTGAGCCACCAGGACACTAAGTGGATTCCATGCAGACATTACCAGCCACCTTCCAGAGCTCATGACAAGCTATGGAGTTCTAGAGAACAGGAGGGGCCCTGCTCCAGGAGCAAAACAACTGCGAACGAAGAAGCCTCAGAAAGCAGCACCTAAAAAAGAAAAGTAGCAAAATAGGAGCCGGAAAACATCGCTGATGTTCTATCCTTTGTACAGTTTTTGTATTTTGGTATTTCTCCTGTTTTCTACCATGAGCAAGTATCTTTTTCATAATCAGAAACATAACACATAAATTTAAAGAGGTGACGTCAAGGTGGTGTGGTCTCAGCTTGGCATGATGGCTTCTATTCATGGCAAAGATAAAAAGGGAAAATGTCTACTTTATATCCATACGCAGATCAAACCGAGGACACCTAGGCGGGTCTAAAGCCTCTCTGAGTGCCTGGAGCTTTTTTCTGGGAGTAAAAGGCCCAGATCACCATAAACAACAGGGACCCCCCCGCCCCGCCCCGGTACCCCTGTAGACAAGCAGTATAACGCATCGGGCTTTGGTCTGGATTAGGTATTGATACCCTTGAAATGACAAGCAATTTTTCTTTGGCCAGACGCAAACCACCCTGGACCTCAATAATGAGTCCAAAAGGCTTCCCCAGTTAAACCTGAAATCAGTCTCCACCACCCAGAGCTGAGGTGGAGCTGGGGAATTGAGGAATGAAAATTCCTTACCAGACCAGTTGATGCCGGAGAAGGGGAAGGTACAGAACTGGGGGAGCCCGGCTCTCCCTTTTATTGTTGAAAACCCCGCCTTCCCTACCAGGAAATGCTATTGGTATCACCTGGACTTTTGAAGCCTCCAGTCCATGAGGCGATGAGGCAGGCGGTTTGTCAACCCCAGGGGGCACTGTCTCAAGCAGCTGTAGAAAAACCAGTCTCCCCACTTCTGAAGGATGGAATGATAGGAGATACATATGATGACTCCCTGCCCTGTCAGGAATGGCTTGTAGGTACGGGACCTGGCTTTGGGAAGTTCTGCAAAAGAACCTTCCAGGCCCTTGACCCGTCCACCTTGCCAGGTTCTCGGAAGATCCTCCATGACCCACGCGGTGATCTTCGTGAACCTGTAAGGGCTTGAGACTTCGGCCCTCTGACTGTTTGGGAGTCCCTTACCGAACGTTACGTTAAAAGGCTAGGCGGCATCTAAGGACAGCCTTTGATCGGCGGGGGCTGAAGCTTACTAGAAGTAAGTGAAGGAAGGATGCTTCCGCCCAGAGGTGTGAGCCCAAGGCTGGCTGCATGTTAGGTATGTGGCATATCTTACATGTTGCATAAACGTGATGTCGTGTGACACAACATGACCCCAAGAGCTACTGTCATCCCATTTTACAGATGAGGGAACTGAGGCAGAAGCAGATGAAGTGTTATGCTCAAGGCCTCAGAGCTGGTGGGTGGTGAGGTCAGGATTCAAACCCAAGCGAGTATGACTCTACAACAAAGACCACTGTTAGATTCAGAGAGGGATGTCTCCAGGCGACCCGGTGGAGGCAGGGTGGGGGTCTCCTGAGGCTGGACATTCAGCATTGGTTTCCTATGGCTTTTGTAACACATAATCACACATCAGGCGGCTTAAAGCAACACGAATGTGCTATGTTAGCTCAGAAGGAAGCCCGATGGCTGGAGCGGGTCTCTGTGGGCCACAATGCAGGCGTTGGCCAAACCGAATTCTCCTACAGAGGCTCTGAGGTAAAGTTCTCGTGCTTTCTGGCTTCTAGAGGCTGCCTGCATCCCTCGGCTCACAGCTTCTTCCACCATCCAGCCAGCAATGGCTGTTCTAGTCTTTGTCATCGCCATCTTCAAGCCAGCAACGGCTGTTCCCGTCTTTGTCACCGTCCGTGTGGTTCTCACCTCGTGTCCCCTAGTCTCCATTTAAAGACCTTCGTGATCACATTGAGCACCCACTCTTTAGTAAGATCAGCAGATTAGTGACCTTAATTCCGCCTGCAACCTTAATCCCCCTTGCCGTATGACATAATATATTATTCACAGGTTCAAGGGATTTGGACATGGACCTCTTGGGGAGTCATGATTCCACCTACCGCATTCAAACACGCAGCAAGTTCACGGGGTTGCAAGGCCCAGGGCTTGGTTCTCACCTTCACGTGGAATTCGAGAAATTGATTCACCTTGACCAAAGTGTCCGAAACTGAATCACAGGCTGGGAGTGGCTTAGCACTGTGGGAAGACCAGCCTCTCTGGGGCCATTTCCATGCAAGGCACCCTTGTCCTGGTCCTGATGGGGTCAGAAAGACCTAGATGAAGATTATTTATCCAATCTTATTTCTGGTCACTCTTTATAAAAGTAATAGTTGCTCGTGCAAGCCAGTCATTACAGAAGAAGATGAGACTCCTAGAATATGCTCCTCGGAAGCTGTTCCCTGCTCTCACTGGACACACCCTGTTTATTATTATTCCTATTAAGGTTTTGACCATAGGGTATGTGTGCTCACTGGCGAGAAAATGAAAGAGGCAGTGAGAAGGAATGTGAGGAAATCACCCCCCAAGGGGTATGGCCATGCCACAATTCCTTCTCCTCCACTCTCCTGGGATTTGGGGCATCCATGCACATGCGTCTGGCATGATTTTCAAGCTGCAAGGTCCAAGTCTCGAACTGCAGTCGGCCATGTGGGAGTCCATTGCCATAACCACCATGCCTCTTGCTGGCCTAGGCACATCCTCTTCCCCCCAGTTTTCCCGGTAGTCTGGTGTGGGCTTGGAACACATTCCAGCTGATGGGGATGAGCAGAAGAGAAGGGCGCCCCTTCCAAGGCTGGCCACAGGAAACAGACTGTGGATAGATGGCCTCTCTGCGGCTTCCCTTCCCCTGAAGATCCACTTGTGTGGAAAGTGGCACAGCCTCTGGGTGGAACCAGAACTCCGGATCACTGCTTGCAGGATAAAGGTGCACTGGTCAGGACACCCGGGTTTTACTTCTGAAACCAGAAATGAAGTTCCATTGCACGTCCCAGCCACCTTCTCAGACATTTCAATGACTGTAGCCAACCTACACTACAGACACCTGACACACTACACACACCTGTGCCACCTGACACACTCCCGCACTTACATCTTTGCACGTGTGGGTCCTGAAGGCCACGTTCCTGCACGAAGAACCACGGGAGGCCAAACTCTTCACTCACATGAGGGGACTTCAGAAAGCTTGTGGGAGGACTGGCAGGTGGGTGATGGTTTAGGGTACTGGGCTCCCACATGGCCGACAACAGTTCAAGTCCCGGAGCTGGGGGCTTACTTTTTCATTTTCCTTCTCTCTCTCTATCTCACTCTGTCCCTCTCTGGTCAAATTTAAGTAAACAGATAAATAAAGTTAAATAAAAATATTTTTTTAAAGTCCATGGAAAATGAAATTACAATGTGAGTTAATTTGGGATCAAAAAACTTTAAAATCCATGCATAATTTTTTTTCATAATACACATTTTCTGTGAGCTTTTTAAAGACCCTTCATATACTTTACGTTTGGAATGGACGACCACTTCCCCTCTCCCTAGAAAAATAAAGGAATCTGAAGGATTTCATCACATTACCTTCCCCTAAGTGTGTACTAATGTCAGCTCTAACATGGGGTCCCTGAAAGGCCCGCGCCCCAACCCTTGCCATGAGGAGCCCAACGAGCTGCTTTGTCTCTGTTAACTTAGAACGTTCTCATTCCTTGGCCCACGTGACCAGGGGCATGAGCGTGTGCCATCATTCCAGCCGACAAAATGTCCAGAGATTTCTGGGATCAGCGGTTGGCGTAGTGGCTATGTCGCTGGACTCCCACGTAGTCGACTGCGGTTTATGTCCCGGACCCAGTGGCTTAAACTCATGCCGGGCGCATGTGCGTGCGTGCCCAAGATCCTGAGAGGAGAATGGAGGAGAAGGGATTGCGGCGTGGCCATCCCCCCTGGGGGGTGATTTCTCGCTTTCTGTCTCTCTGTCTCTTTCTGTCTGTCTGGCGAGCGCACGCGCCCCATAGCGAAAAACCTCTCCAAAAAAATAAAAATAAATAAAAAATAAAATGTCCAGAGATTTCTGTTAACTTTAGAGAGAAGAAATGCAGCTCATTTTTCTTGTCATGCCTTCATTTTTAATGCAGTATACTGGCGGTTTGTGTCATACTTTTGCTTTCATCAGCAAGTACGTTGGTGAACATCGAATCCCAGTTTAGGGAATGGCGTGGTCCTGAGGATCACCCGTGCTCCGATCCTCTCTCCCACCCACACCAAAGGAGCACCGTGGAGCCCAGAGGGTCACATGGTCAAGGCTGCCAGAACTCAGAGCCTGTCTCTCCTGCTAGAGCAGGGTAAGAAGTCCACATCCTCCTTTTGGGCCTGTGACGTTGTTTAAGAAATGATTATCAGATGGCTGCTATGGCAAGCACTGGCTATGCACGGAGGGCAGAAGAAAACTAAGGAACGGCCACTCTTTCTCTCCTTACTTGCTAGAAGGCCATGGTTTTGTTCATCCTTCTCCAGGAATGTCCCCCGGGGAAGCAGGGTCCCTGATGGGTCCAGGTATTCATTGTGTTCTCATTCCTTGGACCACATGACCGGGGGCGTGGGCGTGTGACATCGTTCCAGCCAGTGGAATGTCCAGAGATTTCTGATAGGAGGTTTCTGAGAAGGTCTTCTTTGTGCCTAAAAGGAAACAGGCCAGAGCCTGCCTGGCGGGGCTGCAAGCATCTTGGCACCATGAGAGGACCCAGGCCACAAGGACAAGCCCATGGCCTGAGGTGGTGGAGAGGGAGGACGGAGGCTTTCAGAATCCTGGATGACATTAGAAGAGTCATGTATGTATTTGACCCTTCCCTAGTGAGGCAAAGATTCAAACTGCAGACTTAGAATCTGGGGGATGGGGCTGGCAGGTGGTGTGGTGGTTAAGGCACTGAACTTCCACATGACCAACTATGGTTCAAGCCCCGGACCTAATGACTTGCTTTCTCACTTTCTCTGTCTCATAACAGTAAATAAAATTAGACAAATAATTCTTAACAAAATAACAATCTGAGGGGTGGACAGGTGCCAGCAGCAGGAGGACTGTTCCAGGTAGATGGACTCGCATGCACCCGCATGTAGTGTGTTAAGACTCAGAAGAAGCAGAATCCAGCTGAGGTGAGGAGGACTAAGAGATGAGGATGAGGCTGGCATGAAGGGTCTC